TCTCCCATTGTAGGTCATGTGATGTCTGCATTCATGAGGAGATTTTGCAGTGTATTGAATTCAAATACAGTTTTTTCTTTTTTTTTCTTTTTTTTAATAATCTTTATTTCACACAAATAACAAATTACAAATAACAAATGAATCAAAAGAACAGGACAAGCAAAAAATATTGTTATGTTACATATAAATTTCATTTTTTTAATACTATTTACAATTAATGAGAAACATACTAAGTAGAGAAACAAATACAGTTAATAACTCTCTTTGAACGACCACTCTTGTAAGCAACAATCTCCCGTAAGCGACCACCTTTCAAATTTCCCGTTTTGTTCAGTTTCCCATATAAACTCTGCAAAAAAAAACTTTCTCGTAAGCGACCACTTTTTCCTGATCCCGAGGTGGTCGCTTACGAGGGAGTTGACTGTAATTAGAACTTTCCTCATTTTGAACAGTTCAGCTGCCTTGCAAACTACGTCAATGACATCGATACTAAAGCATGGATTCATGGCTTGACGATTATAGCAGAAGTCATCATCGCAACTTGTTGTTGGAAGGTGCTGTTGAATTTAGCAGTTAGCGAAGAAAATAGAGGAATTGATGATACCAAAAGACCACACGGACTGAAAATTGTGGTATGAAGTTGATTTAAAAATATATAGCCATACCAAAGAATAATGCGTTTACAATCTTGTTACTGCCAGTAACTCTTTTGTTTTCTTCTCCATAGATGATTTAGAGCAAAAGAGTTTGGCTCTACTGCTATCCCATTTTAACATGCCTTATTCTGAGTTTTTCTGTCTTTCCTGTTTTAACCAGTTATGCTGTTTTGGTGCCGTCGGTCTCGCCTACTGGTTCTATGCTGCAGTCTTAGTGACAAGCTGGGCAATATCTAAGAATGGCCTCAACGACTATTTTAACTGGATATCTGTCAAGTACTACTTTCGATGTTTGACAGCTTTCCACCTTATCTACACATTCATGAAAACGAACATGGAAAATATGACAACAAGCAGTTTTTGTAGGAGTAAATGTAATCATTTTCTTACTGGATGCTTGCTTCTTGGCATTTTCTCTGAGTTTCTTGGTGCTGCGCTGGACCAGTATGTTGGACCAATCGAGGAGCGATATCAGTACGTATTAAAGAGCTATATCATTTCCCCTTTTTTTTCTGTTCGGGTGTTTCTGATGTTCCGCGCAGTTGTTTTACGCACATCAAACGCGAGACACCCGCCATCTTGATATTTTCATCATTACCATGATGCACTTCGCGAATACATACATGACGTCATAACAGCAAAAGACCATTGAACAACAAGTGTTCAGACTTTAACAGAAACACTTGAAAGCTGACAAGAATTAAGCGCTACAAAATATCATATCGATATCAACTCTATAACGAGGATTCATATTTTCTATACGTAATATATAGGTGTCAGTAATAGCGGAGTGTCCGTAAGGCGACAATAATCCGGTTTCGAATTCTCCAATGCTCAATTTTGAGCATAAACTGTAAAAGTGTAAGATTTCAAATCAATTTTATCGTGTTTTTTTTTTTTTTTTCAAATTTCATGTGTTTTCTCGGGCTTTCAATGAAACAAAAGAATATGTTACTTGGTTTTGAGGCCTACACAGAACAAACCAGATCTAGAAATTAAAGTATTGATTCTACTGTAATTCTRTGTTTCTTATAGTAAAGAAGTCACAAAGACGAGCTTCAGGATTCTTCTCGAAGTAGGGCCTGCTCTTTAYTTGGCCTTCTGCATCCACGCAACTCTTCACTTATTTTCAATCCAAGGAAGAATGAAGGAAAAGATAAAGGAGAGGTTACCAGAGGCAAAGAGATTAATAAATCCAGAGCATCCACCCAAACCGTTGTATAACCTACATCGAAGGAAACAAACAGCTCTTGGAGATGATGAGATTGAAATYAGAACATGCATATTTTAAAAAAGTGACGCGTGTCATGAGTATGACAAACAAGTTTTTAATATAAAAAGAAAATAGTAAATGGTAAATATTATTATAAGAATTAAAGCAAAGTCATCCTCGCTACGCTCGTGTTTTTAAGCTTGCTTCTCTCGTGTTTTTCAACTCTTACCKTGTTTATATCAGAGGATAGAGACACGCGCGCCGTTTTGTATCATTTAAATAGAGAACATACTCCATCTTCAATTCATCTTTAACAATATTTAGTCCCATGTGTTTATTTTAAAACTATATCTAATAACAAAAAGTAAACATTTAAAGTAAGTAATATTTAACGATTGCATATTTTAAGTCATTATAAATGCAGGTATATTCGATAAGCGTGCATGCAGTGAGTAATCTTAAGGCTGACTATAGAGACACAGAACCGACGGYATTGATRATTAGTAGTTACGGTCACGTAGCCTCACATTGTATATTGACGCCACGGAAACCATTGAAAGTCACGTACGTCACGGCTTCATAGTCAAGCCACGAAATTTCTGTTAATAGTTTTTATACACTGTTAGTTGTAAAATCTGCTTAAAGTGCTCTACTTGAGAGTTTGTTCATAGAAATATAATTACTCTTATGCAGCTTGTCCGTATATTATAAATAAAATACATGGATGCATGGTTTGTTTTGCATGCTCTATGATTCAATGAAATTCGCGTTTGCACGGGCCTTTCAATACGTTCTGGAACTATCGTTGAATCAATTTAAAAGCGATTTAATTTGTTCAACAGTATCCAAAAAGTCCTCAATGATTTTGAAGAYATTTGCGCAGAGTTTAGAGCAAGCAACTGCGCACTGCAGTTTCCGCTCAAGTTGYCGTTGAAACATGTTRAAAGCTCCACACAAATGCGTTGAAAATGCTTTTCAACTTGAAAAACTGTTCAAGAAAATGTTGAAATAGTTTGCGCACCTGCCATTCAACATTGTTCAACACTATTCTACAGCTAGCATTCAATAAAGTTGAACTAACTTTGAAAAACTTTGCGC